TCTTGCAACTCTGCTACCATCCAACCAACATAACTTTACTCACTATCATCTATTCACTTTCAGGTAGATCCTACCATTTACAGAAGACTGAGGACAAGCTTATAGTAAACTTGTCCATAATCCTAAAAGATTTTATCATTTATTTGGATGATCTGCCCAGTCTCAAAATTCTTAGACTTTCATTTCTATTTAATTTTAGCCATCCACTTCCAGGGCTATAAACTAAATTGTCAATCACCTAGAACTGCTCCACTTTGGACATTTTAAATCAATAAATCATTAAGATGGAGAACTTGCTAGTAAATAGAATATTCCATTCCTTACCTTTTTCTTTTTTCTTTTTTTTTTTTTTGAGACGGAGTTACACTCGTTACCCAGGCTGGAGTGCAATGGCGCGGTCTCGGCTCACTGCAACTTCCACCTCCTGGGTTCAGGCAATTCTCCTGCCTCAGCCTCCTAAATAGCTGGGATTACAGGCACGCGCCACCATGCCCCCAGCTGATTTTCTGTATTTTTAGTAGAGACGGGGTTTCACCATGTTGACCAGGATGGTCTCGATCTCTTGACCTCGTGATCCACCCGCCTCGGCCTCCCAAAGTGCTGGGATTACAGGCGTGAACCACCGCGCCCGGCCCCTTACCTTTTTCTAACAAGATTGGGGGTGCTGCCGCTTCTCCTACCTTGCCTTCATCTTCCATTTTCTCCTTTCTGTTGGACTCTTCATTCTCTTCCTTCCATGCCAGCCTGGACTCCGAGAAGTATCATCTGAACTAGCACCTTTGTTCAAAATCCTTATTCTTTCCTTGCAGCCATCTAACCCAAAAATCAGTACTACAAATGCACTTTCCTCATTCCTACATCATGATGGTTAAGCACAAATACAGAAAAATTACTGAGTGAGCCATCATAGAAATCCATGTCATTGGGAAAACTGATTTAGCTCCCAGAAGCTCTTTCTTCTGGGTATAGAACATGAATCAGGCTGAGCCAATCAAGTTACTCTGACCTACTGACAATAATGATAAGTTCAGGAAAAAGCATCTGATCTGAGGCAACCTAATCAGTGAATAGCAAGAAGAAATTTCACCCGTAATGCTAGGACAAAGATTCTCAAAATTAACACAGAAGCATTTAGCTTACCTGAAGCTTTACGGGGAATCAGGTTAAGTTGACATCAAATAAGCAAATCAGGATATGAAAAATCTGATCTTGAAGATACTTAGTGCAGCTGACTCCACCCTGATGCCACTAAATCCTACTTCATCATTTGATTTATTTACATGGACCAATAAACTCCCTTTCAGCAACGGTTCCAGTGGGTTTTCTATCACAGACCAGAAAAATTCTGATACAAATATTATGTATCACAATGTTTTTGGTCTGTGATAGAAATCATACTAATGCTTTGGTTGATATTCAGCTGCTAAATCTAGTCTTAGATTTCATCTACAGTAATCAGAGCTTCCTTCTTTCTCTAAGCCAATACTTTGCTCATAGTAGACATTTGAGGAATATTTGTTGAACCAAACTAGCAAGGCAGGATCTAGACCAGGGATGTGGATTAACCAAGTTAGAACAACATTATCTCCTAGAAGCAATAAAACCAACTTTTTGAGACAGTGTTTTTCAATCTTTTCTGACTGTGTTCCACAGTAAGTAATGTATTCTATATCATGATCCAGTATACACAAAATCTATATAATTCAAGAAAAAGGCCAGGCACAGTGGCTCACACCAGCACTTTGGGAGGCTGAGGCGGGCAGATCACAAGGCCAGGAGATCAAGGCCATCCTGGCCAACGTGGTTAAACCCCATCTCTACTAAAAATACAAAAAAATTAGCAGGGCATGGTTGCACACGCCTGTAGTCCCAGCTACTCAGGAGGCCGAGGCAGGAGAATTGCTTGAACCCAGGAGGCGGAGACTGCAGTGAGCCGAAATTGCACCACTGCACTACAGCCTGGGAGACAGTGTGAGACTTTATCTCAAAAAAAACAAACAAATAAAGATGTAAAAATAAAAGCATTTAATCCCAAAGCACTATTTTCTCTATTCCATTTTTTAAAAACATTTATTTTTGGCCAGGTGTGGTTGCTCACACCTGTAATCCCAGCACTTTGGGAAGCTGAGGCGGGCGGATCACGAGGTCAAGAAAACAAGACCATCCTGGCCAACATGGGGAAACCCCGTCTCTATATATTATTTTTTTTAAAAAAAAGTTTATTTTTGATTTCATACCTCTCACAAAGGTCATGACTTATACTACACTGGACAAAAAATAGTCCTAGTTCTCTTAAATTAAAATAGAGAACCTGCTAGTAATAGATGGGTTGGACAAACACCACAAAAAAAGTTTATATACTCTGGTCCAGTCACTTTCAAATCAATTAGGTTACGAGCTTCTTGACTAGTTCCGCCTGTCTGCTCTCTCATCTCCATCATGCAAAAAAATTAGACTTTCCATGTTACTTCTGCGTTACCCAAGTCTTCAAAGTGGTCCACAGTCTACTAGGCTTAGCTCTGAGACAAGAGGCCAGAATCCACTAAATGTACCAAACATTGCAGATAGCGTGTAAAATATTTCAAACACACAAATGATGACAACTACTTATTTGTCAAATTTATATACGTGTCACTTAATAAAATACAAATTCATTCCCAAGCATCACGGAACTTACAGGAACATTCTGACACTCTTCTAAATAGGCCAACCTCATCTCCTACTACCATCCAACAGAAACCCTCTGCTCCTGACAAGTTATCCTTACCTAAACACATAAAAGTTTCACACTAACTTTCAAGCCTACTGGTCTGTTTCTCTTAGCCTGGAATATTCTTCCCTTGTCTCTACTTATCCAAACCTTACTTCTCTGGCAAAGCACAACGGCTCATGCCTGTAATTACAGCATTTGAGAAGGCCAAGGCAGGAAGACATTTGAGTCCAGGACTTTGAGACACCCTGGCCCCTTCTCTAAAAAAAGAAATAATTAGCTGGGCATGGTGGCACACACCTGTAGTCCCAGCTACTTGGGGTACTGAGGTGGGAAGAGAACACGAGCCCAGGTGGCTGAGGCTGCAGCAAGCTATGATCACGCCACTACACTCCAGCATGGGTGACACAGTGAGACCCCTGTCTCAAGCGACAAAAAACAAGCCTTACTTCACCATGAAGGCATGTCTTCACATCTCTTCCCTGTCTTTCTATAGATTTGTGATCTAGAGATGTCATGTGACAGCATCATAAGAATAATTGTGTTGAATGTTGTTGTAATGATAAAATAAGATTAAAAAAAAGCACTTAGGAAGTTTCAAGGTTTTATTTTTTGAATAGCTTTTGGTAAAAATCATGAACAATACAACTGGCTGCTATCTCAAACAAGATTATCAATCTTTAGGGATCCCCTATCTGGAAGACACTTTAAGGAAACCCAGACCTTGGATTATTGTCATCTTCAGTAGTAGAGTCTTCAAAACAATTTTTCTTTTATTGAGAGTAGATTTATACATTAACAACGATTCATTTCTCAGTTTTTGAAGTTATATTAAGTTACCTGGTTCCTTCCTCTGGATCTTTCACTGAAGAAAAAAAAAATTAAAAAAAAAAGTTACCTGGTTCCACTGTCTATAAGCTGGAAAAATACCCAGATACATAAAGCTGACAGAGCCCAATTATACTGTTGGTAACTTTTTTTTTTTTTTTGAGACAGTCGCACTGTCACCCAGGCTGGAGTGCAATGGTGTAATCTTGGCTCACTGCAACCTCCGCCTCCTGGGTTCACCCGATTCTCCTGCCTCAGCCTCCTGAGTAACCGGGATTACAGGCACACACCACCACACCTGGCTAATTTTTTGTATTTTTAGTTGAGACGGGTTTTCATTATGTTGGTCAGACTGGTCTGGAACTCCTGACCTCATGATCCACCCACCTCAACCTCACAAAGTGCTGGGATTACAGGCATGAGCCACCGTGCAAAGCAGTGACATTTTAAATTATTTTAAAATACATTAACATTTTCTGCTACACATTCTTAAAAGTTCTTCACCTTAGCCATCACTGGTGGTGGAACACACCTATGTGACTTATAGAGAAACTCGTTAGAATCAATTCAAGTTTCTGAGCTTTAAAATCATTTAAAGAACAATTTCATACCAACACAGAATTAAAGTATTTCGTTTCTAGGTACAGTTTTTTCCTTAAAACATATTGAAAACCGTGAGATTCTGCAATCATAAAAGCAGTAGGAATAAAGAGAAAGCAAAAATGAAAACTAAAGCCGTGAGAAATGTCAAGATAATGCAATGGGGAAAAACTTTCGAATGACTGACCTTAGCTGTAACTAAGTAACTGCTAATATTTATTTAGCCCCCCCTTCATATTCAAACATTACCCTAAATCTTTTATGTGATTTCGTTTAACCCATGCACCACCTGTTAAGTAGATATTATTATTATCCCCATTTCACAGTTCAGATGCTGAGCTTTTGAAAGTTACCGAGTCCAAGGTCAAAAGTAAACGGTAGAGCAGGGACTCAAACCCAGGTGTACTTGCCCCCTGGAGGTATTAAGTCCTTGCTCCTAACTGCTAGCTACTTCATGGACCTGGCTTTATGACTTTAGAAGTCATATATCCACCCTGGGCTTCAGTTTATTCATCTGTAAAAACGCAACGAATGCTACAGTGTAGCTCCTTCCAGCTCTACCTAGCGTCGTTATTATCTACCTTACAATCTACCTGAGCGTCAACAAGCCAGTGTCATCCCTTCTTTTAAATGAATTCAACTCAAACAGCATTTACAACGCACCTACTAGGTGTCCAGCCTTTTGCTGAGCGAGCGCACAAGCCCAACTCCCCCACGGTCGCTGCTCTCTCCCCGACGCCAGTAGGCCCCCTCTTTCCTAGCAACTCTCCGAGACCAGCTGGGGTTCTTCGCCCCTCTGGAGCCCCTCCGGGCACACAGATGTCTCGAGCCAGTCCCAGCTCTGGTCCCTGGGTCCACTCACCCTTCTGGTGGTCTCTGCTGACAGGCGCCGCAGGACCCCGCATCCCCGCTGCCCCGTCCCCCACGGGGATTGTGTGGTGAGCGCCTGTCTGCGATCGTTCGGCGACTCTGCCTTTCGCCATGGCTGCACCAAGGAAAGTGGAGGGAGTGGTGTGGTGGCGCGCCCCCTAAACAACAAAACTACGTCGCAGGCTCCTTACTACGCCGAAGGGCCACCGCCAGAGCCACTTCCGGAGCGACCTCCTCACCCGAGACAACCTCAGCGCCGCGAGCACAGCGACGCCCAGGTAAGACCCGCAACGTCCACCCCAAGCTAAACCCCACCCCGTGCCGCCCCCGAGCCTCGCGCGCTCGCGCCGGCCCAGTAACCGCGAGAAGAGTCAGGGTCCTGGACCGCCCCCTCCAGTGTTCCGCCCCGCCCCGCGCCCGCGGGAAGCATGCGCAGTTGCGGCACCCAAGTCACCCGGCTGCGGCTAGCTTGAAGCGGCAGCTACAGCGCAGGCTTAATTATCCGGAAGTGCGGCCCCAGGGACTTCAAACCTTTTGTCCAGGCCGCCGGAAGTGCCTGCGAGTGATTAGTCGGCGTTTCGCGGCTGAGGCTGATTCAGCCCATTACGTCAGTTCCGCAGCTGCAGTTTTCAATTTGGAAGCGCCAGAGAGTGCTTGGTCTAAAGATGGTGGAAAATATAAAGGCTGAGCAAAACCTACCTGAATTTCAGAAAACTAAGGCTCAGAGACGGCCACCTACCACCTGAAGGTCACAGGGTGGCAAAAATGGGCTTCGAATCCAGGTTGTCCCGTTCCCAAAGCTAACGGTGTTGCATTAGCTGGTGCCCTTTACTGCTAAACCCAAGTCACCCCTACACTTGGCTTATCCTTTAGCTAAGTGGAAACATGCCTTTTCCACAGTTAACTTTTTCTGCTTCTACCCCTCAGAGCACATTCAGCTTACAAACCTTGGTTACCTCTTGAAAGCAACTTGGAGGTAGGGCACGGTGGCTAATGCCGGTAAATCCAGCACTTTGTGAGGCCAAGGCAGGTGGATCATTTGAGGCCAGGAGTGTGAGACCAGCCTGGCCAACATGGTGAGATGAGACCACGTCTCTACTAAAAATACAGAAATTAGCTGGGCATGGTGGCTTGTAATCTAAGCTACTCGAAAACCTGAGGAGAATCGCTTGAACCCAGAAGGCTAAGGTTGCAGTGAGAGATTGCACTGCTGCACTCCAGCACAGGCGACAGCAAGACTCCAACTCAAAAAAATGATTGTTCCTATTCAGTAATTACATTTCTAGGAAATTATTCCATGAAAATAAACATAAATAATTCCTTATGTAGTAGTATAACTGAAAAAATGAAAGCAATCTAAAAATCCAACACTAAATAAAAATGGTTAAGTAAATTATGGGAAACCCATTAAATTGGACAATGCTTATGGTAAAACAGTCCAAGAGATAATTTTAAAAAGGCCAAGTGTTTTAGTTCAAAACAGTGTATGAAAATAAATAATATTGCCGGGCACGGTGGCTCAAGCCTGTAATCCCAGCACTTTGGGAGGCCGAGGCGGGTGGATCACGAGGTCAAGAGATCGAGACCATCCTGGTCAACATGGTGAAACCCTGTCTCTAC